GAAACGTAAGGCCACTGATGATAAAGATTCACCGCAAAACCTCGTATTGGCATAGAACATACTGAAAATACCGTAACAATGCCGAGGTTCAAATAAGAGAGGACCTGCAAATTATTAGAGTACATAGTTTCGCCTACTTCATAATATTCTTAATAGAAAATAAATGAACTAGCAGTCGAGGGCAATGCTAGGCAACCGCCTCAATAAAATTTATATCCTCTTGTTTCATGCTCTTTCAACAAAGTTCTTAAGAAGGAGATATATGTAGAGGGGGCAAATGAGCACAATATACTCCATAACTGTGTAATTATGTTAAAAGCAATCTATTTCGTCTTTACATAAGTTTCCGCAATTTTTAAAGCTTTTTGAATTTTTGACCGCTTGCTGTATAGCTTAAAGTCCTTTTCATGTTCTACAGAACTACGTTCAATATATTTTTCATTTTAATCTTTCAAATAATTAATTTCTGCTAATGTTTCTTTTGACCGTAGCCAAAATACTCTCGAATGGGCTTAGTTATGCACGCTTATGTAGTGCTACACTATGTAGTACTAGGTTCAAAAGTTCAAGATTTTATCTTTTTTTTTACTATCATGTGATCCAAAGACGGAATGACAAGAAAGTGTGCGCTTTATGAAAATGTTTGCTCTCTGCAGTTTTTTGAAATATGTTGCAATTATTGCAACACAATCAATACACTGATTTTCCTTCAAATTGATAAATTTATTCTTATATCACATATTCAATGCATAACTATATACAAACTTAACAAAGTACCCGTATCAACTCTATCCTAGACGAGAAAGTTCGAGAAAAAGAAAACAATTACAAAATGGGCAGACTCTGGTCAAGGGGCACCCGGATGGTTGAGGTGAGGCGACGATAAGATGATGCGCACAAATTAGACTATCATTAATTTTTCGAAAAAGGCTTCTCAGGTGCAAAGGGGATATTCAAGCATTCAGTATGGTGAATATAGCAAAATGACCAATGGGAGAACTAACTCCGCCGTCATATCTAATGCCAGGATATCAACTATTGGTGGAACATAACTGGGGGACATGACAATAAGCTATCACATTAGATTTTTAGGCCAGTTGAATGCTAGAAGCCGCTCATAAAAGTACAATTAGAGAGGTTAATAGAAGGATGGTGGATAAAGGCAATAGTGAAATAGATGAGGCCTCTAAGGGCAGTTCAATAATCTCTCCACCCGGGAATCGTTCGATAATATTCTCGTCAAGTATTTTTGAATGTGTCACAAAATTCGTCGACAGTGTTTTTCCCATGCCTCGATTTGTGATTGGTTGAATTTGTAGCGTATACATCGTGGATGGCACCAAATTCTCATAATGCACCTGAAATAACATAATTAATAATATATATAATAAATTCCTCAAAATGCGTCAGGTTACGGTAACGAAAAAGTCAATCTTACCTCTCTTGTTTGCGGTGGAAGTATTGTAATGTTTGTGTCATCGCGAACTGGTGATGATAATGCTGCACGGTAGCCGATTATTGTGTCAGCGTTCACTCCGCGATCACGTACCCAATGGCAGGATACGGTAGCATGAACTATACAGAAGAGCGGAGTGGCTAGTGACAAGCAGGGCAGTGCCCCATGAGCAGGTGTAGCGTCACAGGATTTTGTTGAGAATGTGGTGCTAATTACAGCCTAAATCAAAAATTTGATAATTTGAATGATTAGTCATGCTTCGAATTGCTGAGCTAATAATATAAACCAATATAGTCTATAAGGCGCCGTTGAAGAAGTTTAAAAAATGATTATTCAAAAAAACTGGAACAATTTCTTCACTTTTATATACCAAAAAAA